TAGTGAGAGGGTGGGGATTGAGGATGGGGTTGCGGATATAGTGAGAGTGCATGTGGGGTGGTGAGGGATTCTAGTGGAAAGTTTGATGCTGGGACTGAGTGGGTAGTTTTCACTCAGTCTCCATATGGTAATACCTACAAATTCTGTTCTAGATCCAAACATTCCCAACGTGACTGTGACACGAATGACTCTGATCTGCACTGAAGCACCAGAACCAATCACCATGGACCTTACTGGTAGGTTGTCGGTGGCCTGTCCACGTCAGTAATCCATTGAGGGAGCTGTCTTTGCTGATAGCCAGTGTAATGGGATAGTGAGGGATGAGGAGGGGGTTGGTGTTCAGAAAGACCCTCAGACAGTGGGACATGGAAATATCAGCTCACTATCAGCACCGATCAGTTTCTCACTCCCAAGACCAGTAAAAAGCTGAATATGACATGTCTTATACATGCACAGTTTTGGGCCCCATATCTCAGGAAGGATGTGCTGGCCCTGGAGCAGGTTCAGAGGAGCTTCATGAGAATGGTCCCAGGAATGAAAAGATTAATATATGAGGAACGTTTGAGGACTCTGGGACTATACTCGATGGAGTTTAGTAGGATAGGAGGAGAGGGGGGGATCTAATTGAAACCTACAGAATACTGAATGGCCTGGACACAGTGGATGTTAAGAAGATGTTTTCATTGGAAGGAGACACTAGGACCTGAGGGCATAGCCTTAGTGTAAAGGGAAGACCTTTTAGAACGGAGATAAGGAGAAACGTCTTCAGCCAGAGAGTGGTGAATCTATGGAATTCACTGCCACAGAAGGCTGTGGAGGCCAGGTCATTGAGTACATTTAAGACTGAGATAGGTAGGTTCTTGATTATCAAGGGGATCAAGGGTTATGGGGTGAAAGCGGGAGAATAGAGTGAGAAACTTATCAGCCATGATTGAATGGTGGAGTGGACTAGATGGGCTGAATGGTCTAATTTCTTCTCTTATGTTTTGTGGTCTTATGGTCTAAAATGGCCATATTTATTTGACAGACCATTAAACAGTCCAATGACCGAAGAGATTTTGTGGATTATAAACATTGCATAAATTTACATCTAACTGTGCTTTAAATCCATTCTGTTCCCAACACTTAAGTCACACATTAACCGTAAGTGCTCTCATTGCTAACTAGTTGCTAGGAGATGTGAAGAGATAGTAGGAACTGCAGATGCTGGAGAATCTGAGATAACAAGGTGCAGAGCTGGATGAACACAGCAGGCCAAGCAGCATCAGAGGAGCAGGAAGGCTGACGTTTTGGGCCTAGACCCTTCTTCAGAAATGGGGGAGGGGAAGGGGGTTCTGAAATAAATTGGGAGAGAGGGGGAGGCGGATAGAAGACGGATAGAGGAGAAGATAGGTGGAGAGGAGACAGACAGGTCAAAGAGGCGGGGATGGAGCCAGTAAAGGTGAGGGTAGGTAGGGAGGTAGGGAGGAGATAGGTCAGTCCAGGGAGGACGGACAGGTCAAGGGGGCGGGATGAGGCTGGTAGGTAGGAGGTGGGGGTGGGGTTTGAGGTGGGAGGAGTGGATAGGTGGGAGGAAGGACAGGTTAGGGAGGCGGGGACGATCTGGGCTGGTTTTGGGATGCGGTCAGGGGAGGGGAGATTTTGAAGCTTGTGAAGTTCACATTGATACCGTTGGGCTGCCGGGTTCCCAAGCAGAATATGAGTTGCTGTTCCTGCAACCTTCGGGGGGCATCGTTGTGGCACTGCAGGAGGTAATAAGGTGTAGAGCTGGATGAACACAGCAGGCCAAGCAGCATCAGAGGAGCAGGAAAGCAAGAGATGTGAAACTGCCTCTCCTCCCTCTCGTCTGAGATTTAGCCTCAGTGCCACTGGATTGTTAATAAGATGCCAGTTCTGGTCAGATATATTCCCGGAGGCTTCACTAAGTGGGGTCTGAGCTCCTCCTATTTCACCCAAACAGGTCTTTCCCCCAGTAGGGGAACACAAGACTATTCAAAGCCACGTCAACAATATTTCTCTGTTGTGTTGCCTGCCACAGTGTGGACATTAATCTTTACATTCAGGGAGACTCCTGTGGGGTTGATGATTTCCGCTGGCTCCAGGACCCTGCCACCTTTCCCCTACTTAACTCTTTCTGAAGTATTGACAAGGATTACCAGTTCCAATAACTTCAAACACAAGCAGAACATGTTGGCACGCTGAGTATCAATGAACTGTTATTGATTCCAGCTGTGACTTATCACAGGAATATCTCTCCAGCAAAGAATCACTTTCTGGAGTTGGCGTGGTGTTGAGTGACAAATATCAATAGAGTCACGCAGCACAGAAACAGACCAATCGGTCCAACCAGTCCATGTTGACCATGTTCCCAGACTAAACTATTCCCACTTGCCTGCATTTGGCCCATTTCCCTCCAAACTTTTCCTATTCATGAGCTAATCCAAATGTCGTCTAAATGTTATAACTGTGGCCACATCCACCACTTCCTCTGGCAGTTCATTCTACACACACACTTTGTGTAAAAAAGTTACCCCTCATGTCCTTTTTAAATCTTCTCCTCTGACCTTAAAAATTTGCCTCCTAGTTTTGAAATTCCCCACCCTAGGGAAAAGACCTTTGCTATTCACTTTATCTACACTCCTCACCATTTTATAAACCTTTATAAGGTCACCCCTCAACGTACTACGCTCCAGTGAGAAAAGTCCCAGCCTCTCCCTATGACTCAAACCCTCCATTCCCAGTAACATCCCGGTAAATCAGTTCTGAACCCTCTCCAGTTTAATAATATGCTTCCTATAATGGGGCCACCAGAACTGGACACAGTGCTCCAGAAGAGGCCTCACCAATGTCCTGTACAACCTCAACATGATGTCCCCAACTCCTATACTCGAAGGTGTTAGCAATTAAGGCTTTCTTAACTGCCCTTTCTATATGTGGTGCAAACTTCAAAAGAATTATGTACCTGAACCCCTAGGTCTCTCTGTTCTCCAACACTACCCAAAACCCTACTTTTAATTGTATAAGTCCTGCCCTTGTTTGTTTTACCAACATGCGATATCTCACATCTATCCAAATTAACCTCCATCTGCCACTCCTCAGCCCAATGACCCAATTGATCAAGATCCCTTTGTAATCTTAGATAACCTTCTTCACTGTCGGCTACATCACCAATCTTGGTGTCATCTGCAAACTTAGTCACCATACCTCCTATATTCTCATCGGAATTATTTATATAAATGAGAAACAAAAAGGATCCAGTAGTGATCCCTGTGGAATGCTACTGGTAACAGGCCTCCAATCCGATAAACAACCCTTTACCACTGCCCTCTGTCTCCTACCATTAAGCCAATTTTGTACCAACTGATAATCTCTCCCTGAATCCCATGTGATCTAACTTTACTAATTAGTTTACCATGTGGAACCTTGTCACAGGCTTTACTAAAGTCCAAGTAAACAATGTCTATAGGATAAAGTTGCATTTCCAGCATAGAAAGAGGCCACTTGGTCTATCTGCTGGTTTTTATGTGAATGGAACATAACGATTTCATTGTGTGTCAGGGATCCTGCAAAGAGAAGCAGGTTTTTAACAAACATGACGTTAGCAATGTGCCCTCCTTGGCCAGTGGTAACAGCCATTGGGCAGCTGTGACTCAGAGGGTGAGGGTTCTGTGCGCAAAGGTCTAGACTGACAATGGTGAGGTACCGAGGGAGTGCTGCACTGCCAAAGGTGCCACCTTTTAGATAAGAGCCAAGTCCCAGTCTGGCCTCTCAGTGGGCAGCGTTCTCCCTGGGCTCCAGGCCAACAGCTGTCTCTCATCAGCCCCACATTTCAGTTTATGGGATCTTGCTGTGTACAAACTGGCTTCAGTGCTTCATACAAAAGGTGCTACATAAATGCATGTCTTCAGTTTTATTTCCAATTTCTGGGGCATCACAGGCTAACACATATTGAACAAGTTTAGTTTTGCAGGTTGGATTTTAATCCAAATGGTCGAGGCAAAGTAATCCACCATAATCAACAATCTCCTCAATAAATCATGTCCTTGGGGAGACAGACAAATACCTCAACAACCCCCCTACCCTTCCCCCCCCACAAGGATGTGGTTACTTTCAGGACATTGTGAGGTAACATTGTTTGTTGTAATTTGCAAAACAAACCTGGCACCAAACCTAAAGGATCTGAGATAAATTGGAACAGACAGACAGTTTCATTTTCAAAGAATATTAATTTTAAACTTGCCGCTTAAGGACGGCTAATATTTCAAAAAGTGGCAAATGTAAAGTCAAGGTTACAATGCGCCTGTTTCTCGCTATGACTGAACCCTGACTCAGGAAGCCTGGCCCCTGTGGCTTCGGTGCTGACCTGATGATTAGATCTTTTCGGCTGACACCTGATACAAGTGCTTGTGCTCACAGTTTCACAGTTTCTCCCTTAAAAGGACTTTGTGAGAAACAGCTTGTGATGACCTGCCAGTTACTTGCACAGATCGCAGCTCTGTGGGGAAAGGTTTTATTCACTTCCTTCATTCAACTGCGGAGCATTTAAGAAAACAACTTTTTTGTCTGTTCATGGTTACGGGCGTCGTTGGCTAGACCACCATTTATTGCCAATGTTTTATTGTCATCATTAAACTCTTAATTCCAAATTTTTATTGAATTCAAATTCTGTGGCAGGATTTAAACCCGAAGCCCCAGAACATTACCTGTGCCTCTGGATTAATAGCAATATTACCGCTAGGACATCACTTCCCCAGGCCCCCACCCGCCCCACCACCACCCCCCACACTGCACACCCCACCCCCATACCATTCGGGAGAAATGAGCTCAAACCCACCATGACAGAGGCTAAAAAGTGATCTAAATAAAATTGTGGACTTTAAAAGAAAGTGGTCTAGTGGTGATCGTGTAACTGTTTTCGATTGTTATAAAAACCCATCTGGTTCACTAATGTCCTTTAGGGAAGGAAACTGCCATCATTATCTGGTCTGGCCTACATGTGACTCCAGACCCACAGCAATGTGGTTGACTCTTAACTGCCCTCTGGGCAATTAGGGATGGGCAATAAATGCTGCCTGGTCAGCAACATCCTCATCCTGTGACTGAATAAATATATTTAAAATGAGCTTGTAATTTGGGAATAACTAGCTCACACACACCGCCTGCCTCCCAAACTTTGCTCAAAGTAACAGCACGCTGGTTCCCTGCCATCCCATTGCCAAGGCCAATCTGCGAGCAGTGTCCAGGCTACAGACAACACCCCCCACCCCGGCAAGGACAAGTTGTGAACTGCCGACAGGAGCCCCTGCCCACTGTGCATCTCAAACACTTGACTGAACAGCGAACCCGGGATTAGGACTGTAACAGACCACTCACCATCCGCAAAGCAATGTGGTTAAATCCAATCCATTCCCAGCAGCTTCTGTTCCCCGTTTCCTTATTCAGGGTCCCACCGCCAATCCTGCCAGTTTTAAACTCAACTCTTCGAAAGCCAAATCAGATCGAACATCAGTGGAACTCAGTGGCGCAGGGGGAAGTGAAGGCTGGGTCACTGACTGCACTTGTGACAGAGAGAGATGGGTTCTGGATTGGTAAAAGGATCAAGGGTTAAGAGGAGAAGGCAGGAGAATGGGATTAAGAAACGTGGCATCCATGATCAAATGGCAGAGCAGACTTGATGGGCCAAATGGCATAATGCTGCTTCAACTTCAAATGGCTTTTACAATTCAGGTTGACTCTGTCAGCACAGTGCTGAGGGAGCCTCACAATGTCGGAGGGTCAGTACTGAGGGAGCCCCACAATGTCGGAGGGTCAGTACTGAGGGAGCCCCACAATGTCGGAGGGTCAGTACTGAGGGAGTGCCACACTGTCGGAGGGTCAGTGCTGAGGGAGCCCCACAATGTCGGAGGGTCAGTACTGAGGGAGTGCCACACTGTCAGAGGGTCAGTGCTGAGGGAGTGCCGCACTGTCGGAGGGTCAGTGCTGAGGGAG